ATTGTCATCTGAAAATTAAACAATGATGATATAATAATATGTGTAAACACAAAAAAGAGAAGGTACAAAATTATTAGGTATCATATAAAACGATTTTGTTCAACCACATTTTATGCAAATTATTTTCATTTATTTTCTTCCGGACAAAAAAGAGAGAACATTAATTAATCGAATCCTATGATTCGATCTAATGAATCAGCATCTATTGTTAATAATTGAAAATAACTAAGAAATTTCGTTCTTCTCCTTTTTATTTAGAAATATGTAAATAAACTACAGTTGTTATGTTATTCACCACAACTGTCTTACCTTGACTGCCATTGCGAGTTCTCCATGGATGTTCAAAACAACCATCGAATTTATATGTTGGAATATCGATATATTTATGGCGCTATGATATCTCGGATGCTAAATTTTTCACTAATTAGCAAGTGATAAGCCGAAATTACCCGTTCAACTCGCTGCATTCAAGTTAATTTCCTGTCTCTATCGTTTTTCGGAAACATTTACTTTGCCAATAAATAGTTATTGCATTCTATCGTATCATTCAGGTTCCTGAAATTCAATTGCTTAGATGACGATCTCCTCATTGTAAGGTTTTCATGTACCTAAACATCGATTTGAATCTTTGAGTCCAGTGCGAACAGCGTTTGACTGCTATTGCGTATTAAAAGTAACATAATAGCAAGTTTTGTGTTTGTCTGTGTACTGTGTAATTCTTATTTTGTACGAATTACTATATCGTAGAGATTGTAAAAGAAAATTGAATTTAAACGCACAGAAATTATTTCTTGAGTTTTACAAGAGTTCTATTGGGCCAGGTAAGTATGCTAAACTCATGAAAATGAGATAGGTCAAGTAAAAGATGAAACCACAGGTAGAAATTAGTCTAAATTGTAATTTAAGTGTAGGCATGATTTTATAGTTATTTGATCGTTGCATTTATTGCCTTGTTTGTTTAGCCGATACTACAATTTTCTTTTCCTATTGTTGCTATACCTTATTTTAAAAATACAGTTTCTTAGCATTTACTTAGATAAGATATCTGGGAAATCCAAAATCCGATTATTCTTCTCAATGATACGCCACATCAAATACGTGATTTAAACGTAAACATAATGTTTAATAAAAATCATTGAATTATAAACTAATAATTAGTCGTACGCTTGAGACGGTCGTTATGTTAAAACAATTAGAACAGTTTAAAAATAGTTGACGTGACGAGTTTTTAGTTTTCATTTGAAGTATTTGTTTTCAACTAAGATGAGATTGCTGTATCTACTACTCGGGGTAAGATACCTTTTTAAACCTTCTTATTGTGACGCAGTGATAGGCAAATGTCACTCAGATCCCAGTCAGGAAAAACAGGACTATTCCCACATCTCGTTCCCACCACTGCAACTCCTGTGTAGCCAGGATCGACAGCTTGACCTCCATTAAAAACCCAACCAGTGAAGGTGAATTTTGTCCCGGGGGAAAGTTAGACTGTCATTGGACCCGCAACGAAATTAATCAGAAGAACCTAGGAGGAGTTTGAAGTTAAGGTTCGATTTCCCTCCAGTGCAAAGCAGGACAGCAGACAAAAAAGATTCCCAGTCAGGAAGTGACATTTCTTTGCGTGTATTTCCAAGTCGTCACGTACTCGTAGTACTTCTTATTAGTAGTTACTGACCTACTAAAATTCGACATAGGCTGCGCAAAATTTCGTTCCGAGTGTTTAGTGAAGAAGAAAGAACAAGAAAGGAGATTCATATCTTCACGAGGGTTCTATTCCGAACTTCAGACCAATAATATGACGGTTCTTATTAAAATCCCAGAATAAATAATATGAATCAATATGGCAGGGTGACTCTACATTATACAGTATATCCTTTACACTAATTTCCCAAATAAAATGTTCTCATTTAACGATCTATTTTGCATTTGTGCATACATTCGAGTTTTAGTATTTTGACTTTTGCAGATATTGCTACTTCAATGCCTACGCCCAGTGCATTCTAAAGATGTCTTGTTAATATTGGTACATGGTAAAAATGATAGTAGAAGACTTTCAACGGACGACATAAAATCTAAATTTAATGATTACTCCAAAACAGTTACAGACACCGCTGGAGAAACCAACGAGAAAATCAAAGGATTTTTTAATGATACTGGAAAAAAGGTTAAAGGTTTACTGGATGATGTAGGGTCATGGTTTAAAAAATGGCGCTCAGATCCAATATTGTAATTCTTAGTAATTCTTATTAAAAATATAATATAACATTAGAATAATTGATTGTGTTGTTAATTTACCCTAATGTCTGTGTGACTTTTCTTTAGTTAATAAAATAATTAAGTACAGAGAGTACTTATTACAACAAAAAAAACTTTAGGATTTTAAAATTTTTTCTAAGAATTACGAACTCCTCCTAAGTTCTTCTGATTAATTTCGTTGCGGGTCCAATAATGACGGTTTAAATTTCCCCCGGGACAAACTTGACCTTCATTGGTTGGGTTTTTATGGCGGTCAAGCTGTAGATCCTGGCTACACAGTAGTTGCAGTGGTGGGAACGAGAGGTGGGAATAGTCCCGTATGTCCACTGTTGGACAAAGGTCTCGTCCAGGAATTTCCAAAATGACTGGTCCTGCGCTGCCACTGTCTAGGCGCTTCCCGCAACCTTCACCAGACTATTGTTATACCGTGTGGAGGACTGCCTGCCTACATTATAGTGGGGTACATTTATATTTGATTATTTAAAAAAAATGATGTTTTTTTTACAGATATTGTTACTTCAACATTTAGTGCCTCCAGTGGAGTCGGGCATAGCTACAGATTTAGGTTTAAATAAAGGAGACACTTGGACTGAATTCAAGCATGCTTGTGAAAAAATTGGTTACAAAACCAAAGGCTTTGCAGAAAATGCTACCGACAGCATTTCATCGTTTTTTGATAAAATTGGATCGTGGTTTAGGAGGACGTTTAGTTAAAATTTAAGGAACTGTGCTGTGAAATCTATACTCATAATAAAAATGTGAAACTGAATGTTTGTTTGATATCGTCAATTTTGATGAATTTTGTTACAGCGTTATGTAAAATATCCAAGTTATTGTATTTAATTTAAAACTTACCTTTAAATCGAAATTGATGGAAGATCGTATCGGAAATCTTCATTTGACCTTTCTCATGTTGCATCGATGCAATGAAGAAGACTGCAAAGTACGCAATGCAAGAATCCGAAAAAAATTGTAAGAATGCGTATTTAAGTAGTACAGTATTTATAATGCACGAGTGTCCTATGTTGAAGAAGTATCGGGATCCACTGCATTGTAAGAGTCCTAAATAATAAATTCTTACTAAAATTTCTTAGCCTTTATTTAGAGTCACTTCTCAAACTAAATCTATACTAATATTATAAATGCGAAAGTAACTCTGTCTGTGTGTCTGTCTGTCTCGCTTTCACGCCTAAACACTAAACCTATTTTGTCGAAATTTCGCATAGAATAGTTTGAGTCCCGGGAAAGGACATAGGATAGTTGTTATCCCGGTTTTTGAAACAGGGACGCGGTTGTAAAGTTTTTTTGTGACAGACCAAATAACACGCGGGCGAAGCCGCGGGCGGAAAGCTAGTTATAAATAACTTGAAAATTATCTTTTATGACCCAACCACTTAAATGGATAAAGGGGCAACTTTTACGATGCAGACTTGTGATTCAGTTCTCAGTATTATGCTCTTTCTATGATCTGAGGTATTATGTTATTATTGTTATTTTGCCCAGTGTTTGTCACCTCCGCCGGACGCCGTACGCCGATTACCCAATTTATAGAGATGAGGCGACCACACTTTGAGGTCAAGGTGATCCTTTGGCGAGTAATAAATAGGTCCTTACACAGTGGTCACTTAAATATACGTTATAGATGAAGTTATCTTCTGCTACAAACCAAAGCTTGTACCTTTTTTACAAGTAGGCTTAGGCCCGCCATACACGGACAGCTCGAGCAGTTAGTCAGTGATCAACATACACGGATCACTCTTGTGGTCAAGAGTCAGCAACAGCTTGAAGCTGCCAGTGATAACTGCTCGAGCAGTTGGTTCAACAGTTCGAGCTGTGGGCAATTTCAAATCAGTAGCACCATGGATTTTGAAGAGACGGGAATGAAGACGCGGGCGGAGGCTGCGCTCGAGCTGTCGACAGCTCGAGCAGTCATAGTGCGATTGGCAGCACGGAAATTTCATGGTGCGATCAAGCAGTCGTCAGGTATACACTGACTGCTCGAGCTGTTGACTGCTCCCGCGCAGTTACCTTCACCCACGCTCTTCATTCCAAGTCGCGCGCGCTTAACTTCTTGAGCAGTTAACCAATTGTTCTAGTAATTATCTATTGCAGTTTCAAGCTTTCGACTATGGCTGCAAGTAAATAAATAAATAAGAGCAGTCCGTGTATGTTCATCACTGGCTAACTGCTCGAGTTGTCCATGTATGCGGGTATGCTCAACGTTCCAGTTACCGCACTATGTTTCCACAAAAGTGTCTTGGATCCCTATTAGAGGTGAAGCTGCGATTATCCGCAAGTCCCGGTGAACCACGACATACTACTCGATTCCCCGATTAGTGTCGCCTACCGTGGTTGACGTGCTCAGCTTGTCGTGCGTAGCTAATCAATACCATAGTGATGCCTAGATCCCAGATATTTTCATTTATTTTTTTATTAATTGAAAATAATATTACCCCAGAACATGACACTTGGTTCGACTCAACAACAGATCGCACATTTAGATCGCTGTCACATTTTAATCAATCTTTTACTGTTGTTAATTGGATAAAACATTATAGCATTCCATTCTATTCACACTGCTTCCTTTAGATAAATAGTCAATCATTAGGTAGTATCCATTTGAATTTAATGATTGAAATCTATCTAAGTAAATACAAGCGACTGAAATGAAATGAATAGTTCTATTTAAGTTGAAATGAATCGACCTAGGTATGACAAATCGATTAAGTAACAATACAATAAAACTAGTATCACGTTGTTTATCCCGACAATTTGCTGATCCGATGTGACTTTGGCGTCGTACATCCCTCGATAAAACCGGAGTGTGCGTCGAGTTAGTTTCTCAGTTAATCACACGTGTGTAGTTGACCACTCCTGCCCCTCCTGGGTCCAGTAGGATCTACATCTGCGAAGAAGCAACACGGCATTATCAACCTGACCTGACCATCTAAGTACAAGAACAAGCTAAGTTTTTCTCGGAGTACAACGTCGTAAAGAAGCTATGGATTTCAGACTAGCAGCTCTCTTTTTTGTAGTAAGTATTTTTTTTTATTTACTCACTGATTTCTTTGTTTGTGAATCGTGGATGAAGAGTAAAATAACAAACGTCTTTGATGCCTCGATGATCTTATTAATTAGTATCTGGAACAGCGCTCCATTCATGCTCATGATGATAAGTTTTGTAAATGGACAAGGGATTTGGGTTTTTACAGTTTAATTATAAAGAACAAACGATATTTTATAAGTCCAGATATTAATGAAAGTGTCTAAAGTTATTTGGAATATTCTGACTTACAGTTGCAATTTTTTTGCATTGCGTCGCTTCGCTTTTAGAAGAAAGTTTTTTTCAAAGTGATTTACTTATAAATCTAGAAACATACGGGCTAATTAAGTTTATCAGTTTACCTGTGTATCATTTAATACAAATATAACTACTTAATTCAATTAAAAACACCCAAGAATGTAAACTGATACGGAATAGTACCTACTCGTACTTTAGATAACGGTTTTATTTTGTTGATTAATCACGAAACTTATTTCTAGCTTGTGGTGTTAATTGAGAAATAGAAATTAACAATACTATATTATTATTTAATGACTAGGTATATGACTCGACTGACGTTGTTTTGTTTGTTTGTTCTTTATGAATGTCAAAAGCCATTAAAATATCAAAATTCATGGTCACAATGATAACATTTATTTATACTCTATGAACTTTAACACTATTACAAATAAAATAATGGCGGAGTAACATTTTTTTGCTTTTATTTTATTATTATTTATTTACAATGTTATTGATCAAAAATCTGATTCCGACTAATGACATTAAAATATTTTTTTTAATCTTTCTAATTAATACGAGTAAGTAGGTAGTATTAAGCAATTTGCCGATATTAATTCTAAATTTCAAGGCTGCAGTACCATTTAGAATTCTATAGGCTATGCCTGCCAGTCACATTACGGCAAAGCATTCGTTTTATGTTTATTTGCTACGCATCAATTATACGGATTGAAATTAAATTTTTAACTTACGAGTCATAATAATACGAGTTATATTCATCAACATTCATAATATTCAAGTTTATTTGGTATATGATACATGACAATAATAAACAATCATAATTGATAATGTAGACTTTAATTAAAGAATGTTGTTGTCAACAACCACGTCATATTAATGCTGTTTACACACCAATTTTGTTGTCAAAAGTCATAGAAAGTACAAGTTATCGAAATGATTCTTGAAATAAAGCCGCCGACTCCAAGCCAACGGGCTGTTTTAGCGTGTAGAGTCCTTAACAGTTACCTATACCTATATCCCTGGAATTAGAACTTACACAGAACATTTGCAGGTTCCTCTTCTGCATGATCTAACAGAAATAAAAAATTCCAGGCGTTGATCGTAGCGGCCGCAGCTTACCCCTCAGAAGACTCCAACGACAGGGAAAAACGTGACGTCGTGGAATCCATGACGAAGGCGTGGAACGAGGTGGTGAAGACCCTGAGTGACGCTGGAGACGCCGTGGTCCACGTCTTCAAGCCTACGGAGAAGAGCGTGCTTGATAAAATGGCTGACGGAGTCAAGGGCATAGGACAGTAGCACGTACTTGTGGTAGAACGTCTGAGCCACTGTCCTAAAAATTACGAATTTATGAAATTTTCCAAATCAGAATTTAGAATTTACCTTTCTCGGTTACCATTTTACCAACCAAACAAAAAAAAAACACTTTTGATTTAACTTCATAGTTTTTTATCTTTTAAGTTTGTTTATCTTTTAACTAAGAAGTTCAAAATGTTATTTGTGTGGATTGCTGAAGAATTTCCAAGGTACATAATTTTTAAACTCTACTTATAAGCTTTTGTCAAACGTAGAAAGAAAGACCATTTTTCCCGAGTGTATTATTGTCTCATGGAAATAATATTACTAGGATCTACACCAGCGGTTCCCAAACTTATTTTGTCTACTGCCCACTTTGAGAATAAATTCTTAAATTATTACTCATTAAATTTTCAAGAGTCAAATGCTCAGTCGGTGTCTAAGAGACCTCCTAAGTAGATGAAATTACAAATGGCCTACCAAGCCTCTACACAATGCCCCGATTTTTTTCCGGGGTCTCTTACCGCCCCCCTTTAAGCCTGCAGCGCCCACAAGGGGGCGTTATCGCCCACTTTGGGAAAGACTGATCTACACAGTTGACTCTCTAATATCTTGTAAAATATCACCTATCACAACTAAATAAGGCAATAGAGTTTAGCTTGATTTGGTGTTTTCTCCACTTAACACGGCTGAGTTGCACCATCTTACTTTAACTTTAACAAACGTTAAAAATTTGTCAAACTCCATATAAAAAGCACCGGTTATTGTTATAGTTTACGTTTAAAGTAAGTTGGTGCAACTCAGCCTAAGATTATAAAGGAAATTTAGCTCCATTGCCATTGCACAAGCATACGACAAGTTCTGGGTTTCGTTGCAATTATGTAAACATGACCATAAAATTAAAGTATTAATTTTTCACTCAACAACAGTGTTGTCAACAATTACATCAGCATAATGTAACTTAGCTGTAAGTAATTGCGTATTTTTATATTATGATACAGGGGAATTACCGTTAAGACAATAAATGAAAACATAAACATCCGTGTTTCATTACCTTTAATATCAAAATTACAAAATGTGCTAAGTGAGGCATAACACGTGCTCGAGTACCTACTCATACAATGTGAACTGTGAATGCTATAAGATTTTGTGAATTTTACGAGTATACAGGGTGTTAGGTAAATGGGTATATGAGCCGACACTAGCCCATGTTAACATGGCCATATAAATGGTATGGCGAAGTCAGAAATTTGATATCATCATTTTAATTTTTTTAATTTTCATACAAAATAAATTTTATAAAATCCGATTTGTATGAAAATTTAAATAATTAAAATGAAGATATAAATTTTCTGACTTCACCATACCATTTATATCACCATTTAACATGGGCTAGTGTCGGCTCATATACCCATTTACCTAACACCCTGTATACTAAACTTTAGACTTCACTATGATAAGGGGAATTAGAGTCAATTTCGATGATGCCGTCCCTGTAGTGGATGTCTACGGCATTATCGTTGAATATCTCGATCAACTGCTCCGTGCCTGTCTCCATACAATGCACAGGGCTCTCCGGATAGTCCGGCCTCTTGTCATAGTCCTCATCCTTTTGCTTGCGACGCGATGGCAATATAAATATACCTGCAGTTATCTCCTTCTTTTCCACTTCTTTCTCTGTCTCCTCGGACAGCTCGTACTGCCGTCGCTGCAGATCCGAAATGTTGTAGTGATAGAACTCAGACTTATGCCTCTCCCTGATGAACATGCAGTACACTATCCACACAACCACTATAGCGGCCTGTCAACAAATAATGAGGTCAGGTATTGACTTACCTAATGCGGTTGAGCTAACACCGTGGCGTCATTGTCAACTCACCAAGACGAGGGCACAGATAAATCCGCCGATGTAAACACTCATTTTTTGTTTATTTACTGAGATGAAAAGATACGCTGATATTGCTAGCGAAGGCAGAGAGACAGTGGGGCGAGCGATCGGCCGACGCGCATCCAATTAATGTCAGCGCTCGTGATGTCACCGAGAGCGATTTTAATTCCTCCATTGAAAGTAATTCATTTCTTGAAGTAGGTACTCTCTGGTATTGTTGACGACTGACACATCTCTTGATATTTTTACCTAACAGGTTTTTCTAAACGATTAAAGTCATACATACCTATTAGAATGTGACTCAACAAAACTGCGCCTTTAAGTCAGATTCATGAATAGAGGTAAAATACTAAAGGCGGTTGGCTCATATTGCGTTGTACTGCCATTACGTTGTATTGAATCAACGAACCTTGACCTAACGGTTGTAGAAATAGAGCACTCATGAGTAGGAAACCACAGTCATGATCTAGATAGGTCGGTGCGTAGTTTCTCAAACTTTATGTGGGGGCTTTATTTTTGTTTTGGTAAATGAAATATTAAGTAACATATTACAAGGGGATCCGAAGATAATCTACAACAACCTAACTATTTACTAAGTAAGACTAGTAAAAAACACTTCTTTCACATTCATTTATTATTTTACTTTTTATACAGTTTATTATTATTTAAAATATTTTTAAAGAGTAAAAATAAAATTCGAAATAGGCCACGTAGAATAAAGGAAGTAGCACACTTATCAACCCGGAAAGGGATCGTGTATCATCTCGAAGCGGTCAGTATTCTTTGTATGAAACTCCATACTGCAACGCACACATAGGCCCAGAACACACGGTGAAATGCAACTGCAACGAAACTGTAACTTCTAGTTACTTTTGAGTTGCATCTAAGTTTCTGCCATAGATTCCGTTGAGAGACCACACATGACGCGACCAGTTTGACCAGTTTCAAACGATACGTTTCACTGTGTGTTCTGGGCCTAATCCGCACCGTAACGTAAATGCCTTGCTTCGTGGTTGAAAGCACGCGAAAGGCGATAACAGCTCGCGAAAAGCGGGACGGTGTTGATCCCTTTCCGAGTTGATAAGACTGCAATGATGACCTAATCATTCTGGGTGTTAAAAAATGAACGAGTAAACACAAAAATATACCTAAGTAGACACATGCGACTGATATAAAATAATTCGACCTGTGAATGACAAATCGATTAAGAAACTAATAAATAAAACTCTCTATCACGTTGTTTATCCCGACAATTTGCTGACCCAATGTGACTTTGGCGTCGTATATATTCCTCAACAAAACCGGAGTGAGTAGAGTTACTTTCTCAGTTAAGCACACGTTTTGTAGTGGACCACTCCTGCCCCACCTGTGTCACCGTACATCGTCATAAAGAAGCATCGGATTTCAGGCTAGCAGCTCTCTTATTAATTTGTAGTAAGTATTTTTTTATTTACTGACTCGCTGTTTATTTGTTTATGAATCATGGATAAAGCGTTTATGGACAAAGAGCCAGTGAACGCCAGACCATAACCATGAAAACTGATATTTAATGTATAATATTTGAGAAATAATTAGATGATGTCTACATTCTACATCAGCCAGATAGTTGGAGCATGTGCTGACAAACTTTCAGCTATTATAAAATAACGAAGGTCTGGCGTTCCACTAGGTAGACCGACGATCTGGTGAAGGTCTCGGGAGGTGCCTGGATGTGGGCGGCGCAGGACCCGTCTTTGTGGAATTCCTTGGGGAAGGTCTTAGTCCAGCAGTGGACGTCATTCATCTGAAACGAACGAACTGCAACGAATGACGTTCACCAGCTTTTTATGATTATGATGATACACTTAATATTAATAGACAAGGGGCTTGTGTTTTTGCGGTTTTATTTTAACCTCAGTTTGATCCTGAGGTTAACTGGAGCCACTGGAGGAAAATGTTTAATAGCATTAATTTCACCTATGTACTGTATTGTATGTAAGTTTTAAATAAATAAACTATTGATGGTGCGGGCTTTAATTAAAGAAATTTTTGACAACAACCTCGTCATACTAACAGTTGGAACTCTCTGGAATTTGAACTGGCTCGGTTGTAGGTAGGTTTCTCTTCTTCGTGATCTAAAGCTTCAACCAATCCAACGTGTGCCTATCGCGTCGGCGATAGCGATTACTGTGCGTTAGTTTGGCTGAAGCTTAACAGGCGTTTCACATTTCAGGCTATGAACCCCTCAGCAGACTCCAACAAGGGGGTAACGCGTGAGGTCATGGATTCTATGAAAAAGGCGGGGACCGATGCGACCAAGGCCGTAACTGACGCGGGAGAAACCGTGGTCAACGCCGTCAAACCTGCGAAGAAGAGCGCGGCTGATAAAATGGCTGAAGGAGTCAAGAGCCTAGGGGAGTAGTATGTAGTTGTAGAAAGTAATATACGAACCATTGTCTTGTCCTAAAAAATTTGTTTATCTTTTAACTAAGAATTTCTTTTAATTTCATGTGTGTGAATTTCCTAAAAAATTCAAAGTGTACCATTTATGGTGTTTTTACTGTTATGTACTAAGGTTTCGTCAACTGTAGAAAGAAAATTTTGCAAGAATGTATTCTTGTTCTTGTATCATTGAAATTGTGTTACTAAAATCTAAGCAATGCTGTAAAAAACAATTAAGTACATCAACTTAACTTAGCTCTTTGTAATTGCGCATATTTATGTTAATATATTAAATAACCTTTGATAATAAATGAAAACATAAATAACCGTGCTTTATTACATTTAATATCATAATTATTCCAAAATGTGCTAAGAGAGGCATAACAAGCGCTCGAATACCTACTTTTACAATGTGAACTACTGTGAAAAGCTGTTTAAACATGGCGGAAATTATGCAATGCCACCTGAAGGGAAAGTTTTCATAATAATGTAGATAGAAAATTTTACTCGAAGAAAACATACCTTTTAAAGGAGATTGGCACATATTACGTTGTATTGAATCAACGAACCTTGACCTAACGGTTGTAGAAATAGAGCACTCATGAGTAGGAAACATGTCATAGTCACGATCTAGATAGGCCAGTGCGTAGTTTCACAAACTTTATGTGGAGGAAGGATGGAGGCTTTATTTTTGTTTAAGTAAGTGAAGTATGAAGTTAACATATTACAGGGGGATTCAAAGATTACTTACAACAACTCAATTATTTAATTCTTAAGGTTATCATCGCACATTTATCAAGCCGGAATGGGATCGTAAACGTATCGCCTTTCGCCGCGCGGTCAGCCAGGCGTCCACCCAACGTACTTAAGCACGTAACGTAAACGGATCATCAACTTAGCTACGGGTAGGCGCCAAATAGTCTAATGGCTGATTTTTCAATCGTTAGTTATCTTTTAACTGAAGAATAAACTCGTCATTTTGACATAATAATATTTTCCATACTGAAACCGTCAATATGCCAAACTTACTCTTCAGTTTAAAGTTATCCGGCTGACGAATGAAAAATCAGCCCTTAGTAGAATAAAATTCTATTCTGTCTGGGTGTTTAGTAAAAAGACGGAAAAAGAAAGATGATTCATATTATCTTCACGAGCGTTCTATCTCAAGTTCAGATCAATAACTGTTACGACGGTTCTCAGAATAAATTACAATGAATCAGTCTGGCCAGGGCTGGAAGACCGACCGACGATCTGGTAAAGGTCGCGGGAATATAACCTTGGGGGAGCCTTTGTCCAGCAGTAGACGTCATTTGGCTGAAACGAACGAACGAACAATCTGGCCGGGCGGGGCGACTCTACAGTATTCCTTATACATATTAATGTTCCAAATAAAATTTTCATCATTCAAAGATCTATTTTGTATTCGAGTTTTAGTGTTTTGACTTTTGCAGATATTGCTACTTCAATACCTACACCCAGTGCATTATAAAGATGTTTTGTTAATACTGGTTAGCGGTATAAATGTTAATGATCGTAGAAGACTTTCATTGGACAACGATCATTCTTTTAGTATTGCTTAAATGGTTAAACTGCCTCCCCCAATGACTTCCACATCGCACGGTTGGTAGCGCCTGCATCCAGCGCCTTCCTGCTACCTTTATCAGGTCGTCGGTCCACCTTGTGGGTGGACGTCCCACGCTACGTTCTCAGTATTATTATGATTATTTATATTTAAAATATTATTTAACACACAAAAAAGAAGCGGTATAAAAGTTATTATGTTATTATTTTATTGTTATTTTGTCCAGTGTTTGTCACCTCCGCCGGACGCCGTACGCAGATTACCCAATTTATTGAGATGGGGCGACCACACTTTGAGTCAAGGTGATCCTTTGAGGAGTAATGAGTCCTTAAATAGAGGTCACTTAAATATAAATTAAATAAACATAGAGTTTTCTTAAAGCAAGGGCTGTGCCTCTACAGACAGGCTTAGTTTCAGAATTCAGAATCAATGCATCAGATCTTTTCGTTAACCTAAGGCCCGGTTTTTGGAGCGAAGTGGAGAAGAAAGGAGATATGTGTCGGTCGGACTCATTTTTGACAGCGGCGGCGGCGCGATGTGGAGCGGAGCTGTGCGGAGCGGAGAACATATACATACACTCGACATCAAATAAATCGCACCTCCCACGACAAGCACTTTCAAACGTATGCATTCCCACTTCCCACCAATATTGGCACCATTTAAAAGCCTAGATCTAAACTTCATTTCATTAAAGGAAAGGTTTTTACCCCAAAAATGTGTCTTTAGAAGGATCCAGAGTCACTTCTTCAAAAAATAGGTAGTTACGCTTGAGCCAACTGTTATGGCTATAAAACAGTTAAGTTGGGATTAATTGCTATCCATCTGTTAAAGAGGACACGTGAGATCATTATTTGGTTTTATAACCATAAAAATTGGTCTAATTGATCCCAGAGGTGAGCCCAAAGTAAGGTCTTTTTTCAAGTCACATTTATGGTATATGTTAATCATTTATTAAGAAATTAAATGTGTTTTTCTTTAAGGATATTTATTGGGCTTTCAAATAACACCAGTATTGTTGGGGCACCATGATTGTCTCAGAAGAAAATCCTTAAGTTCGCGTCGCGGAAGGTGCGGTTTATTTGATGTTGAGTATATAATATACATACATACATTGATTTAAGTACGATACGAGTAAGTAAAACGGAATCAAAAATGGCATGCCAGAAAGTCGTAGAGGATTCTAGCATTTTAAAACCCATTTCACAAGGATTCTGAGGCCCTAACATAAACAACTGACTCAACGTTCCAATCATCGCACAATGTTAACTACATAATGTTTCCACAAGGAAAATTACCAAAATCTTGGATCCCCATTAGAGGGAGAGCAAATTACCTATACATCTCGTTGAATAAAAAATACTAGCCGATTCCCCGATTGGTGTCGCTTTTCGTGGTTAACGTGTTCAGCATGTCTTCCGTAGCTAATAAATACGACAGTGATGCCTAGATCCTAGATTTTTTTTTCATATTAGTTAATAGAAAAATAAAATAATTACTTTAAAGGTAATCTGCCCCAGAACATGACACTGGCTCTTCTCAACAATAGTTCATTATAGCATTTTGTTTTATTCATACTGCTTCCTTTAGATAAATAAATCAATCATTTGATGATTAAAATGTCTACCAAAAATGAACAAGTAAATAAATATTATAGGTACCTAAGCAAACAAATTCCACTGATAATATAATAATTCGACCTATGAATGACAAAACGATTAGGTAAAATACGTTCTGTATCACGTTGTTTATCCCGACAATTTGCTGACCCAATGTGACTTTGGCGTCGTATATCCCTCAATAAAACCGGAGTGTAAGTCGAGACATTTACTCAGTTTAGCACAAGTTGTGTACTGGACCACTCCTGCCCCTCGATCTACATTTGCGAAGAAGCAACACGACATTCAATCGACCTGATCTGACCATCTAAGTACAAGTACTAGCTAAGTCTTTCACCTGTACACCGCCGTAGAAGCAATGGATTTCAAGCTAACAGCTCTCTTATTTGTGGTAAGTATTATTTTTCGTTTCCTGACTCTCGGTTTCTTTGTTTGTGAATCATGGATAAGGTGTAATGGACTAGGAGCCAGTGAACACCAGACCATGTACCATAAAAGCTAACTTGGGAAATTATTAGATGATATTTCCTCATCAGCCAGATAGTTTTGATGGTTCCAACCCCTTGCCAGATAAGCGAGATGTTGGAAACCTTTAAGCTTTTATTAAATAGGTCTGGATTTCACTGGCTCTTGCTCTATAAGTTTAAAAAAGTCTTTGATCGTCTCGAAGATCTTATAAATTAGTATCTGGAACAGCGCTCTATTCATGTACATGATGATAAGTTTAGTATAATGAATAAGTGAACAAGAGCTTTGTGTGTTTTTTGGTGTTAACCTTCTTGTTCTCGACGATAATGGAATTTATTATCAACAGACAGCTCCTTCGATACATAGAAGTCCACCAGCTGTTAAGTGACCAATAGTACGGTTTCCGTGGCGCTCGGCTGGTGTACTTCTGGTCTATGTGACACATCGCTGGGCACAGGCGATCGAGAGTAGGGGGGAAGCATTGGCGTAGTTTGGACATGGCGAAGGTCTTCGATCGGGTTTGGCACAAAGCGCTTCTTTCGAAGCTCCCTTCCTATGGGCTTCCCTAAAGATTATGTGGATGGGTCACTAGTTTTTTGTAGACAGAAGTGTAAAGATCGTAGTCGACGGTAAATGCTCAAACTCTATGACTGTGAAAGATGGTGTCCCCCCAAGGCTGTGTGCTATCGCCTTCGCTCTTTCTTCTGCATATCAATGATATGTTGCAAATCAGCGACATTCATTGTTATACGGACGACAAAATGGTTGATGCTTCCTATACCGGCCGCGCAAATATCTCTCGGAAGAACGTCATTGAGAGTTACAAACTTGTGTCCGAAACTGATACCTCCTTGAAGGGAGTCTTAGACTAGGATCGACGTAATTTGGTCCAATTTAACCCAAAGACAAGTTTGCGCGTTCACCGCCAAAAAGATGCCATTTATCGTATCTCACTATTTTGAGAGCACTCCCTTAACTGCCTCAGCCAATTTCGGAATCCTTGGTGTTGACATATCGAGTGAGCTGAAATAAATAATTGATGGTGAGGGCTTAGAAAGTTGTTGATAACAACCTTGTCATACTAACAGTTGGAACTCTCTGGAATTCGAACTTGCACGGTTGTAAGTTCCTCTACTTCGTGACCTAACAGATGTAAAACATTTCAGGTTTTGATCGTAGCGGTCGCAGCTTACCCCTCAGAAGACAACATGAGGGTAAAACGTGACGCCGCAGATTCTGTGAAAAAGGCGGCGGACGATGCGGCTAAGGCCCTGAGTGACGCAGGAGAGTCTGCGGTCAACGCCGTCAAACCTACGGAGAAGAGCATGCTTGATAAAATGGCTGACGGAATCAAAGGACAGTAGTACGTACGAGTAGTTGTAGTAGAACGTATGAACCATTGTCCCAAAATTTACGAATTCACGACTCTTGAAGTTCTCCAAATTAGAATTTAGAATTTACCTCTCTCTGTTCTTGTTCATCTTTTAAGTTTGCTTATCTTTTTACTGAGAAGTTCCATACATTTCATGTGTGTGAATTTCCTGAAAACTTCAAAGATACAATATTGTTTTCTGTTACTAAGGATCGTCAAATGTAGAAAGAAAGAGCATTTTGGGCGAGAGTGTTCTTGTTCTTGTCTCATTGAAATGGTGTTGTTAAAATCTGAGCAGTGCTGTAAAAAACAATTACATCAGCTTATTGTAACTTAGCTATATGTAATATTGTGTATTTTTATATTATAACCTTTAAGACATTAAATGAAACCATAAATATAATATTATCTGTTTTTATTTACCTTTAATATCAAAATTATTACAAAATGTGCTAAGTGAGGCAAGTGCTCGAGTAGGTACCTACAACCATGTGAACAGTGAAATGCTATAGGCGTATAAGCACAGCCTAAGTATGAGGTTTATTGAATTGTATACAGAGTGGAATTTTTTAAAGCCACTTGAAGGGAAAGTAGGTAAGTACTCTAAATAAATACTGTACATAGAAAATTTTACTCAAACAAAACATTCCTTTATTTTTGAAAAGAAAGACAACTGCATTCAAAGATTTGCCAATACCAAGCCTTGATAATTTTGTGCTGACCATAAACTATTACTTCATTTCGACTAGTATGAAGAATGATTAATGTTAATCTATTAGTGAATTCATGTAGTTGATATTGTAGGTTGCCCCAGACGATAATTTGAGAACCAGTGAGCTGGTACGTGCGATCAGGGGTCTGTCGGTTACGTACGTACGTCTGAGGACATACCTACCTACGTAATAGCTGACTGGTTTTATTAGACTTAACCAACTGGAATGTATACCTATCTATACTCCAATTGATGCCCACAAAAATCATAACATAGGCTAGTTTCCTAAAAAAATTTTTTAGTCCGTCAATTTTAATATAAAAAAAATATTGGACACATATTATATTTTTAATTGTCAATCAAACAAATAATTACAAAGTTATAGTGCGTTGAAGTTCCGCGCGACGCACGTCATAAAGTGCTGCACTTTTACGCACTCACTGACATCACGGGCCTTTTCTTTAGAACTTTGGCACGCTTTATCTCTTTCGATTTCATTAGTTTTAAAAAGTGAAAAATACGTGTCGAGTAGTTTTTGATAAGCTAACTGACGGACTAAATAGAACTCTTGCTTTTTTACCCAGAAAACATCCCTATTGCAATGAATTCACCATTACTCTAATCATCATCATCATCATTTCAGCCATAGGACATCCACTGCTGAACATGGGCCTCCCCCAATGACTTCCACATCGCACGGTTGGTAGCGGCCTGCATCCAGCGCCTTCCTGCTACCTTTATCAGGTCGTCGGTCCACCTTGTGGGTGGTCGTGGTGGACGTGGTCTCCACTCCAGAACCTTGCTGCCCCATCGGCCGTCAGTCCTGCGTACTGTGTGCCCTGTCCATTGCCACTTCAGCTTGCTAATCCGTCGGGCAATGTCAGTGACTTTATCACTACGTTTTAATAATAAATACGAGTAACTACACCATTGATTCACATATTTCACCGCTTTCCCTTTTAGTTATTTTAAACAGCTAAGTATTCTCTAGAGGTTGTATTGTATCCGTACTCAATTCTCCTACTAAGCAAAATCTTAGAACATACATGGGAATGATTTAGATACACCTTGATGTAAGGAATCCAAATTTTTGCTTTGAACGTCAACTCAGTCCATTCTGTATATTTTTTATGCAGTATTATACCTGCCTTGTCTTGCATAAAAAAAAAGTAAAGGATCACTTGCCTCCCTAAGCCATCTGGTCAGAGCGTTTGAGGAGAAGGTAAGCCAAATTTTCTTAAGGTTAATAAACTTAAAAAGCAGTTCAGATAGATTACCAAGGCCAAAATAATTTGTTAACCGGATTTTTTTGTCTTTGAACTATGCATAATATGAGATGAATAAAAAGCTAAAAAAGAAGAACAGCCTTGCAAACAAGTGTGTCAATGACAGTATTTTTTTTTATTTTTTTTGTTTTAATATTCTCTATTTTTGGGTTAATTTATAACTTGATTTATTCACATCTCTACGTGAGTCAGACATAAATATTGATGTTTTTCTTTAACTTGATACCGTAACGTACCTATTCCTGAGCAAAACATTTTTTTAGACGAAGACACGGCTTGATGCTGAAGGTTGACTTTTTACATTTTTAATAACGAAAAATAAAACTTCACATACGACTATTTAAATGGAAGTTCTCAATGACGCAACCTGCTATTTATAAAAATATTTACCTATATTAATAAATAATCTTAATTACAGACCATTTTAGGGTTACGTACCAAATAGTCAAAGGGACCCTAAGCCATCGCGCTTCTTCCCAATGAGTCACACTACTCACACTGTTACTTGTCGGGAAAAAAATCCCATCAAGTCACACTGTTACACTCGCTAGGATATTTGTTAGATCAAAAGGTCACAGTAATTTGTATTTTCAGACAGTAAGCCAGAGATAAATAGATAAACAATTATTCTATTCTATTCTATTCAAAGCTTTACTTACAGAATGTGCATTTAATATGAATATGTAATCCCTTATTAATTTATTTGTAACAACAAACAGGCTGCGTGTTTTTGGTGAGTTTAGGAAGACTAGGAAGGTTTTGTGCAATAGTGCGGAACGTTTCGTATGCGACCTCAAGTCGCATTTGGTTAGTTCTTTAATTAATAACAATATAAATGGCAGCCAAAAACGAGTTTGTTGGATGATATTTCTGTAGATGATACTTCTCCGTGCGTTCAAATAATTTAAGCTAAGAACTAACGGAGCGGTTTCTGAACGCAAGAAAGAAAGAAAAACAAAGGAAATCTGAAATGCTTCATATATTTTTGAACCAACATACAAAGTAGCCGACCAATGATAGTACATGACTACCTTAACATTTTTTATATGACGTCATTCATTTCTCTAGGTCTAATATTATATGAGTCACTACACAAAGTTGAAATATAGCATTTCAGTCAAAACAAAAAGAGATTATTTGTAATTACAAAACATGTTCCAAACGTTACTTGTTATTGTATCGAGTTAGGTAGCATGTGGACCGCAAGAACTATCATTGCCACGAGGTACTGAACTACTGAAGGACGCGGGGAGGAGGTACGAAACGTTATAACGCGGCAAATGTATGAACAAGCGCGTAACTAAATTCTCGGGATATTATGCTTAAAATACACTGATCTGCAAAAGTAAGTAGACGGATTTTTGCCAGCCCATATTGCCACTTCAGCTTGCTAGCTGATGTGGCAATGGGCTGGGCAGAGCACATAGTACCTACGCAGAACTGACGGTCGATGGGGCAGCAAGGTTCTGGCACAGATATTATAATACTAGTGTTCTGGAGTGGAGGTCACGTACCAAAAAGCGCAGTGTAGTATGTCCAACCACAAGGTGAACCGACGACCTCATAAAGGTAGCAGGAAGGCGCTGGATGCAGGCCGCTATCAACAGGGATTATGGAAATCATTAAATCATTTTTTAATTTATTTTTTTTAATTAGGGGACGTCCCACGCTGCGTTTTACGGTACACAAGGTGGACCGACGACATTATAAAGGTAGTAGGAAGGCGCTGGACGCAGGCCGCTACGAATCGATCAACATGGAAGTCTTTGAGGGAGGCCTATGTTCAGCAGTGGACGACCTATGGCTGAAATGATGATGATGTAGAAGCTCAGTTGCGATCATAAGTAACCCATTTAGCAGAGAACGTGTTAGGTTTAAGAGCGTTTANCTATTCTGTTGCTTTGCCTTTTTGTGCTTTTTATGTGATCTGAATACAGTTTCGTATTTTAAGCTGAGCATTTTCTATTTACGTAGCTAACACTAATCGTTTTCATACAGACTTAAATAATAAAAATCACATTATTTGAATATGTAAGCGATAACTAAAACAGGTTGAATTCTACAAGCTATTTTATTTTAAAAACATACGTACTAAAAATATTGAGTATTGAACTTTTCATAACAGCATTTCGTGGTAACACTCATATTAAAGTACGATTCTGGATAATCAAAAGTTATGCCAATATTGCCAAAATTTGGTTAGCGGCAGGCATTGAATTTTACTGAGCATTACAGTAATTTCGCTCTTATTTACAATCCTCACCAATATAAATTGGCAATTTATCTTATAACATCACGTGGCTTAGTCCAACCGTTTCATTCTTTAAACCAAACCATTAACTTCAAGGGTTTTAGGTAAAGAAAAATGTTCTATGGTGTAAGTTTCACCAAACCACTTTTAAAAACAACAGAAAAATAAAAGAAAACGGCAGTACAATAAAACAATTGATTTGAATAAAGAACAGCGGAAAGTTTTCAACTGTTTAAACTTTCGTGGCCAAGGGTTTCGTCCTATTCTTTGAGTTCCACGAAACATCCAAGTTGTGATTGTGAAACTGAAAATACGACTTTTTGCTTACGTTGGGCTAATGAACAATGGTTTTGACTGAAAACGATAAGACTTCTTCTGAAAAGGGTCCATAAAACGACTGTATTTTTTAAAAGTTATTTTTAAATTTCTAAGAAAGGTCGGTGGAGATGGAGAGGTTTGATATCAATTTGGTTTGTAAAAAAATAAAACGAAATAAGTTAATTTATTTTGTTGACTTTAAGGTTGTTGTTGTGTTGTCTTTGTGGTCTGTTTTTGTCTATCCCAACGTATCAGCTCTTATCCTCATATGACGTACATTATGTTGAGATTTAGAAGCAACGCATTACTCACATCAAGTAAAGAAAATATCACTGGTTGCACCTCATTGTCAAAATCAGCATCAAAGGATGTATGTACATTACATGTGTATTCAATAACGGCTACACCACATTGACACGCTTGCCGGTTGCCTTACAATCGCTTTAACGCTGTTAAAAACCAAAAAGGTAATGCAATTTAAAAATCGGGTAATAACAGGTGTGATTTTTATAAACGAATGCAAATGAGCTCACACTGATAGCATTAGGGTTGTACTATACTCATGTATTATTTGTTATTACTGTAATGCATTCTCCCAAGGCCCAGTTTCTAAGGCGGAGCAGTGCGGAGACAAGAGGAGATGTGCGGTGAAGCTGGCTGACTATTTCCACCAAAGCGGAGCGGAGAAGAGCAGAGCGGTGCGGAGACCAGCTGTGCACGAAA